ATAGACAAACTCATTCATATTGCACTTAAATTGATGAAATGCTTGCTGTGAACTGCTCTAATAAGAAGGAAAAAAATAGTATTTGAAAATATTGAAAGTAGTGGGTTACTTCAGTAGATACGTTCCTTCAGAAATTTCTTCCTAGCCTCCTAACTTTAATGCCGTTTCATTTTCTATCCCAAGTGCCATTGTATAACCATGATGATTCGTCTCTGGCTTTGGTCCAGGTGGATTCTAAACTATTTTCCTAAAAAGAAACGATTCCTATTACACTTAACATACTTTCATATTGTTTAATTAATTCTGATGACTTTATGACCCAAAAAGTAATTTTGTTGTATTTTTTATGAATATTGTAATTGCATAGAACAGTACAACCTTTGTTAATTTGATAATCTTTGTAGCAGGTTCAAAGTAATAGAAACATCAGATATTTGTAATAATTAAATTGAAATAAAGAGTTCATCTCATCCCATCTTCACCTTCATCTCTTATTATTTATACGGAAAGAAAATATAACGACCAAACTTATAATAATTCTAAAGCAATATTGGTACAAAAATACTTAAATGTTATTGCGTTTCACTGTATTACATGATGGGCACTTACTCCAAATTGTGAATGATTCATTGATGTTGACCCAATGTAATCCATATTTGAGTAGTAAGGATAATTATTGTAACAATTTGTAGAAGAACTTGTAGTGCTCAGAACTGTTGCCTGTGTTGACGAACACCACCTGTGTTGATCTAGAGAGAAACTATCTATTGATGCTGGAGACCAAATGCTGGAATTAGCTGAGTTGGTGTATGTTGAACCAGCCACCTGCAATGAGATGAAAAAGGGTTGATGAAATTGAAGTTTAAAATATGTAAAAAGCAATGAGTATACGTAATAATAATTGTAACATCTTAGGAAAACACCCTACGACCTTGTTCTGTGTAGAAAATTACTTAATAAATAATTTTATTTTAAATAATAGATCATTTTGTTAGTAGGCACCAATTGAAAATTTTCTTGCTAACTAACTTGAATCAAACTGAGCTCCTATCATTTCTTGAACAATTTGTTTTTTTATTCAGTTCATTGTCTTTATTATTAATCATTATACGTGTGCACATAAATTAAAGTTATTTGACCTAGAACAGATCCCAAAAAACATAAGTTCAGAGGTTAAATCTAAGCTGAAAATGCTAATGGGCATAAGTGGAACTTCTGCCCACGAAAGGAACGATAAAATACCAGAGTAGACCATATAAAATAAGAAAAATTAACAGCAACATTTTATACAGGGTGTTAATAAATACCTAGACAAACTTTTAGTGATAATAATTCTTTGGGTGCTTTTAAGAAAAGCGTATGAACAATTAATGAATACAACGCAAAGACCAGTGGCAGTAGTAGAGGGGTATTATAGATTATTGGGAAAAAAACATAGTTACTCAACTCTTCTATATACTATATGTTAATTTTTGGATGATGCAAAGATATTTAATTGTGTTACATATATTGATGATATGTAGTCACTAAAAGATACAAGAAACATCGCAATTGAAATAACATTCCATATTAGAATAGACGAGGGCAAACTGTTTTAGTGATTTGCTTTTTCAAAAGGACGATGTTTTCGATATTTCTCATGCAAATAATTTCAACAAATCACACAGTTTTGCCCAATTTAAATATCTCTACATATCTTGTGGCGGATTTAAATGTTATATCATAAATTTGAATACAGGATGGGCCATTACAAAAAATATGTCAGCTAATTAGCTGAAACTTACCGTTGGAGAACTGGTGCTGCTACATGTGGCAAGATTATGTGGTTTCGCATAATTTGGACTATCTCTCAGGTGTGATGTCGTGTGTACCGACGGAGAACCGGCGGAGGAGCTGAAAATAAACTGATAGATATTATGTTTTGAAAATTAGATGTGTACTGATACTGATTGAGTTGATATAGATTTTTTTGTTACGAATTGTAAAAAACATATATAATTAACTATTGACAAGTTTGTAAGACATATTTATAAAAAAAAAACAAAATATAAGTATTCATAATTTAAATACTAAGATAAATTAATTAAATTATAGGAATTACAAAAAAGATTTACTAAATTGGCAACATCATATACGTTCTACGTGTTTATATGGTTGCATAATCTTCATCTAATGTAACTTCCAAATATCGATCATTGAAACTTTTAGTCTGGTAACTTTGAGAAACTTAAAAATTACATATTGAAAACAATTTGTATTACGAGATTATAACCGATTACTACATTTTTTTTCATTTAGGAAATATTTTTAATTTTTGTTGTATTTACCTTTCGACTTTATAAAAAAACGGGGTGTTCATATTATCTTCACAGAAGTGACCTAATTGTGGACAGTCATTGTCAATCTGTAAGCCGTTATTAAAAGCAATCTAACAGAAAAATAATATTGAAAAAATACAAATAATACAGCTTGAATTAGTATATTAGTATATTAATAGGCATATTAAACAGACAACTCAAAGACAATAAGCTGGTATAAAGTTGCTTTAAAAAAAAATAAAGTTTGTGCTAATGAAAAAACACATACCTGTCATATTGAAATTAAAAAAGAACCTTCAGTGAAATTATTAAATCCTATTCTCGTTCCTAGATATGACTGACCACTTTAAACAAAGACCAATACGAAATTAATCCATGATTATTTATTAAAATATTATTTTAAAACTTGTATAATTTCTCTTTTTATTCTCTTCCATTAATTCTAACTCATTTCACATTTTTATAATACTCCTGTCACTCTTTTGATGATGCCACTGCAGAAATTTTTTTATACGATATTGGAATATTCAGCTTATTATCTTTATTTGGAAAATTGCCGCTCATTATAATGTTTTTATTTATTTATTATCTTTAAAGAAGAAAATCACCCATTTATCCTATTATCGTTACATACGTGTCCATAACATCGAAACCCACTTATCTTATTTGTTTTAATAAAAACTATCTAAAAAAATTATTATAATAGTTCACTAAAAAATAATATAATTTTATCATACAGCATTAGATCCTCAGTACCTACATAAAATCAATGATTGATAATAATTTTTCTTAGCGTCTATAAAATAACAAAATTATGGTCCAAGTATCGACGCAGTTATTAATGATGGATTTAAACATTGTGTATATTTATTAAGTATCTGGTTTATTTACTATGAATTTAATTAATTCCAATAGAACCAACATTAATTTGCTTTATTCAGAGTAACTTTTTATTTCTTTTGTAGTAACTAATATAACTAATAAATTTGTTACACCTGTATTTTAAGTACATCTTCTTAAAAATCATTTAAGATAGGTACTCTTCCTACGCCTATTTACCTATACTACTAATTTTTTTTAACGCAATATTAATAAAGCATTTTCATACCTAGTGTTGGTGTTGTTATTGCTGGAAACTGAAACAGGCGTACTCGGAGAAGATTTCGTTATGATGGTAGCCGTTTTACTCTTTAATCTTGTGGTTTTCTCGACGCTTTGTTGTTGGTTGTGTTGTTTTTGCTGCTGTCTGCATTTCGCTCTTCTATTTTTAAACCAGACCTGCAAATAAAAAAATATAAGCTCTATATTTAAGCCCAATGAAATGTAGTCTTTCTGGGAAACCATAAAAACAAATATGTCTATGAACAAGTATTTTTGTATCAGATCCTTAGTTTCAATAAATTTAGATATAAATTTAAATTTAGATATAATGTTTAATGGAGAGTAGAGTGAATATGAGCAGTAGGCAATCCATTTTGCATTACTCAAAGATAAATACAGGGTGTGGCGTTATAATCTATAAAAATTAAACAGCAGCTTCCTGATGATATTTGTAATAGAAAACTCTTATACGAAAAAGTTCTATCTTCGTGTTTTTTTTTTTGTAAATTAAAGTTTATTTATTCAACGAAAATGAAGGCCGACCCTGTGTTATTTATTAAAATGTTTGGAAATGTTTTTATACGACCCGAGATGGAACATTATAATTTATTAAGTCGGTATAATCTAATACTAGCAATACTAAAAGAAGGTTACGTTACATTCTCAAAAAATCTGTGCAGTCAACTGATTTTGTATTTCAATTGAATTCATTATTCACATAATTTTAAATATTAAGCATCCTCCACCGACCCATCAGTGTTAAAAAGTGAAAGATTCCATGCAAAAGTTTTTATTTTGTAATTCCACGATAGTGACAGTATAAATTTTATAAGGAAGTAAAAAATAAGAATAGCATGCCGATTACATTAAAAACGAGATTCTAATTTCTTACTTTGCTTAATTTTTTAGTTTNTAATAACTTTTTACCCTGTATTGTTAATGAATCACCCTGAATATATTTTTTAATTTATTTTAGTTGGCTTAATATTTTTAAAATAAAGTCAAAACTTCAAAGATTAATTTTCAAACAAAAGTATGAAGTAATAAAACTTATTCAGTGAACTTTAGAACAAGACGCTTTGAACGGCAATTAACAAAAAAAAAAACAAAAGAAAACTATAAACAATTTTTTGTTTTTAATGTTCTTAGGAATCAACTTGTTTCACTTTTTGAAGTTACATAATATGTTATACATAATTTGTCTGTTTTTTTTTTAAATAATTTTTCTAAAAATTTATTTTACTATTTATTTTGTTGGGTTCCAATTAATTTTTTTTTTTAATAATTGTTTTACATATTCAAGCATTGATATTTGCACTGATCTGGACAGACCCGTTATATTTAACTATATTTTACAAGAATAAATGTAAGGTATAACGTTTTCATTAAACCTTCAACAGTCTGTATCTCAAAAACCATTGGTTTTATGGACTCGATTCATAAAATTTTTTGTCTAAAATTATGAAATGATCAATCCCCTTATGTTATAGACTTAGAAAACATCCTGTATATGATGTTATTCACAAAATTTTTATGTATATATAAAAATTTTTCTATGCTTTACATATTGCTGTATTCCAGATCGATGGTCAGATACAGTCAACCTCTGGCTCAGGAAGTATTGAAACTTTAGTGGGTGAACCTCCTGCAAATTCAAAACAGAGTAAAAAAGATGACAAAGTGTTACTATTGTGCATACACAAACAAAGAATTCCTGCCAATGCCAAGGTAAAATATACCGACATTTTTTATAACGGCTACAAAGTATTAGCTACACTCGTTTGTAGAATATTTTACTTGGCGACGTTGATGGAGACGGCATGGTTGAAATGGTGCTTGGACTTACCGATCGAGTTGTCAGATCATATAGATGGATAAGTACTTCTAACAAATCCACTATAGATATAACTATAGACGCTAATCTGTCATTTGAACATTCTGACAAATTATTAGGTAACTCTTTAAATGGTTAATGGGAGTTAGTTTAAACTGAAATTTTTAGGTAAATTCGCAGCTTTAAATAAATGGGAATGTGCCAACCAAATAGGTTCAATTACGCTACATCATTCGCTAGACGGTAAAACTTCTCTTTTAATTGCTCAACCTGGAGGAACCTTTATGAGAATAAAGTGCTCTTCTGAAGAATCCATTAATTTCGCCGATTTGGAAGCTTCAGAGCACAGTAATTCTAGTGGGTAAATGTGATATTTACTTAGTGTACGTCGTAATTGTTTCACAGTTTTTTAACGTTTTTTTTTTCTGAGAAAATAGTTTATTTTTATTTAAACTAACTTTGACGCAAACAGCACAGATTTATTTTTGTTTGGTAGAGCCATTCAACTTCTCTTGAAAATCAAAACTAAGACATCTAAACGATTTTTTTCTATCTTGTTAGGAAATAAGCCCCAAAATTATGGAATTTGGCGCACTTCATGTTTTAGGTTCATAATTTTCTGGTTCAAATAATTTTTTTTTTCAGATCTCAAGGAGAAAATATTCCTGGCTCTGTAGATTATCAGTTCCTAGGAATTTCCCGAATGAGAAATCAAAATATTTCTACCGAAATCCTAGGTGACTTAAAGTGTTCTCCGAGCGATAGCTTTGACAAGTGCAGCATAAGCACACAAAAAAGTGACACCAGTAAGTCTATCGCTAAAGGGAAACCTTATGCTGTTGCCACTCTTGACGGGACCATCATGCTGGTGCAAGATGAAGTTATATTATGGTAAAAAAACTTTGTTATTTTTTTCTCAACTCAGTTTTACTGATTGTTTTTCCACAGGGCCATTGCAGTGGACCACCAAGTATTTGCTCTTACCAAATTGGACGTAACCGGCAACGGATGTGACGATATAGTCGTTTGTTGTTGGGACGGTCAGACCTACATTTTAGATCAGGAGAAAAATTCTGTGAGGTTTCACTTAGACGAACCAGTTCAGGCTTTTGAGTCCGGATATTACAACATTAAGCCTGATGAGCCAGCTGTGACTTGCCTTGTATATGTCACTTTTAAAAATAAGGTAAGTAACAAAAACTGACCTCAATTCAAAGGTGACTATTTTGTATTTGCTGTTCTTACAACTCTAGTTTGAATAAAACCATCATTTATGTTGAAATTCTCATAACCAACAGGCATTTCCAGGACTCTTGCAGAGAAGTAAACAGTTTTATCAGACGCTTCTCTCATAGCATGAATACTTGAGCAGAGTACTAGTTTGTCTTTTTCTATTTAGCCTGGTTTTACTTAAGGTTTTGTCCACCTTCTGGTTTGTTCAGCATAACACCTGCATACACCTTCAGGATAGTAGTGGTTCAGGAAGTCCTGAGTGAATTAGATGGTAGATAGCTGACCTAGGTCTTGAGCAGTGCATTCGCAACAAATTTTTAACAATGTTCTGAATTGAAGAACAGTTTAGATTCCTGGTGATAGTACTGGTTCAGGAAAGGTTTCCACTGAACCATTTTCTACTGAATTGTTTTAATACTGAGGATTTTAGAGCACTTTTTGCACTTTGGTTAGTTTTTTCACTCTTTTTGCATCTATTTCTATGTTTATGCCCTTTTGGCAATGCTTTTTAAGAATATCTTTATCCATTAGAAGCCTTTCCACATCTATAGAAAGTCCTGAGCGAATCAGTTGCTAAATGGCTGCCCTAGGTCTCGAGCAGTGAGCTCGCAACAGATTTTTAACCATGTTCTGAATTGAAAAACAGTTTATATCCCTCGGGATAGTACTGGTTCAGGAAAGGTTTCAACTGAACTATTCTCTACTGAATTGTTTTAATACACAGGATTTTTTACCACTTTTTGCATTTTGAATAGTTTTTTCATTATTTTTTCGTCAATTTCTGTGTTTATGCTCTTTTAGCACTGCTTTTTAAGATGAACTTTATCTATTAGAAACTTCTCCACATCTATAGAAAGTCCTGATTGAATTAGATGGTAGATAGCTGACCTAGGTCTTGAGCAGTGCATTCGCAACAAATTTTTAACAATGTTCTGAATTGAAGAACAGTTTAGATCCCTCGTGATAGTACTGGTTAAGGAAAGGTTTCCACTGAACCATTTTCTACTGAATTGTTTTAATACTGAGGATTTTAGAGCACTTTTTGCACTTTGGTTAGTTTTTTCACTCTTTTTGCATCTATTTCTGTGTTTATGCCCTTTTGGCAATGCTTTTTAATGNTGTTTTTAATGTTCTTAGGAATCAACTTGTTTCACTTTTTGAAGTTACATAATATGTTATACATAATTTGTCTGTTTTTTTTTTAAATAATTTTTCTAAAAATTTATTTTACTATTTATTTTGTTGGGTTCCAATTAATTTTTTTTTTTAATAATTGTTTTACATATTCAAGCATTGATATTTGCACTGATCTGGACAGACCCGTTATATTTAACTATATTTTACAAGAATAAATGTAAGGTATAACGTTTTCATTAAACCTTCAACATTCTGTATCTCAAAAACCATTGGTTTTATGGACTCGATTCATAAAATTTTTTGTCTAAAATTATGAAATGATCAGTCCCCTTATGTTATAGACTTAGAAAACATCCTGTATATGATGTTATTCACAAAATTTTTATGTATATATAAAAATTTTTCTATGCTTTACATATTGCTGTATTCCAGATCGATGGTCAGATACAGTCAACCTCTGGCTCAGGAAGTATTGAAACTTTAGTGGGTGAACCTCCTGCAAATTCAAAACAGAGTAAAAAAGATGACAAAGTGTTACTATTGTGCATACACAAACAAAGAATTCCTGCCAATGCCAAGGTAAAATATACCGACATTTTTTATAACGGCTACAAAGTATTAGCTACACTCGTTTGTAGAATATTTTACTTGGCGACGTTGATGGAGACGGCATGGTTGAAATGGTGCTTGGACTTACCGATCGAGTTGTCAGATCATATAGATGGATAAGTACTTCTAACAAATCCACTATAGATATAACTATAGACGCTAATCTGTCATTTGAACATTCTGACAAATTATTAGGTAACTCTTTAAATGGTTAATGGGAGTTAGTTTAAACTGAAATTTTTAGGTAAATTCGCAGCTTTAAATAAATGGGAATGTGCCAACCAAATAGGTTCAATTACGCTACATCATTCGCTAGACGGTAAAACTTCTCTTTTAATTGCTCAACCTGGAGGAACCTTCATGAGAATAAAGTGCTCTTCTGAAGAATCCATTAATTTCGCCGATTTGGAAGCTTCAGAGCACAGTAATTCTAGTGGGTAAATGTGATATTTGCTTAGTGTACGTCGTAATTGTTTCACTGTTCTTTAATGTTTTTTTTTTTTTTTTTTCGGGGAAAATAGTTGCTTTTTATTTAAACTATCTGTGACTGTTTACCTCGCAAGCAGCACATATTTATATTTTTTTGGTAGAGATTCTCCTTCCACTCTAATAAAAATATCAAGAGGGACTTTTTGCCATTCAACTTTTCTTGAAAATCAAAACTAAGAGATCTAAACGATTTTTTTCTATCTTGTTAGGAAATAAGCCCCAAAATTATGGAATTTGGCGCACCTCATGTTTTAGGTTCATAATTTTCTGGTCCAAATAATTTTTTTTTTCAGATCTCAAGGAGAAAATATTCCTGGGTCTGTAGATTATCAGTTCCTAGGAATTTCCCGAATGAGAAATCAAAATATTTCTACTGAAATCCTAGGGGACTTAAAGTGTTCTCCGAGCGATAGCTTTGACAAGTGCAGCATAAACACACAAAAAAGTGACACCAGTAAGTCTATCGCTAAAGGGAAACCTTATGCTGTTGCCACTCTTGACGGGACCATCATGCTGGTGCAAGATGAAGTTATATTATGGTAAAAAAACTTTGTTATTTTTTTCTCAACTCAGTTTTACTGATTGTTATTCCACAGGGCCATTGCAGTGGACCACCAAGTATTTGCTCTTACCAAATTGGACGTAACCGGCAACGGATGTGACGATATAGTCGTTTGTTGTTGGGACGGTCAGACCTACATTTTAGATCAGGAGAAAAATTCTGTGAGGTTTCACTTAGACGAACCAGTTCAGGCTTTTGAGTCCGGATATTACAACATTAAGCCTGATGAGCCAGCTGTGACTTGCCTTGTATATGTCACTTTTAAAAATAAGGTAAGTAACAAAAACTGACCTCAATTCAAAGGTGACTATTGTGTATTTGCTGTTCTTACAACTCTAGTTTGAATAAAACCATCATTTATGTTGAAATTCTCATAACCAACAGGCATTTCCAGGACTCTTGCAGAGAAGTAAACAGTTTTATCAGACGCTTCTCTCATAGCATGAATACTTGAGCAGAGTACTAGTTTGTCTTTTTCTATTTAGCCTGGTTTTACTTAAGGTTTTGTCCACCTTCTGGTTTGTTCAGCATAACACCTGCATACACCTTCAGGATAGTAGTGGTTCAGGAAGTCCTGAGTGAATTAGATGGTAGATAGCTGACCTAGGTCTTGAGCAGTGCATTCGCAACAAATTTTTAACAATGTTCTGAATTGAAGAACAGTTTAGATTCCTGGTGATAGTACTGGTTCAGGAAAGGTTNCATACCTGTCATATTGAAATTAAAAAAGAACCTTCAGTGAAATTATTAAATCCTATTCTCGTTCCTAGATATGACTGACCACTTTAAACAAAGACCAATACGAAATTAATCCATGATTATTTATTAAAATATTATTTTAAAACTTGTATAATTTCTCTTTTTATTCTCTTCCTTTAATTCTAACTAATTTCACATTTTTATAATACTCCTGTCACTCTTTTGATGATGCCACTGCAGAAATTTTTTTATACGATATTGGAATATTCAGCTTATTATCTTTATTTGGAAAATTGCCGCTCATTATAATGTTTTTATTTATTTATTATCTTTAAAGAAGAAAATCACCCATTTATCCTATTATCGTTACATACGTGTCCATAACATCGAAACCCACTTATCTTATTTGTTTTAATAAAAACTATCTAAAAAAATTATTATAATAGTTCACTAAAAAATAATATAATTTTATCATACAGCATTAGATCCTCAGTACCTACATAAAATCAATGATTGATAATAATTTTTCTTAGCGTCTATAAAATAACAAAATTATGGTCCAAGTATCGACGCAGTTATTAATGATGGATTTAAACATTGTGTATATTTATTAAGTATCTGGTTTATTTACTATGAATTTAATTAATTCCAATAGAACCAACATTAATTTGCTTTATTCAGAGTAACTTTTTATTTCTTTTGTAGTAACTAATATAACTAATAAATTTGTTACACCTGTATTTTAAGTACATCTTCTTAAAAATCATTTAAGATAGGTACTCTTCCTACGCCTATTTACCTATACTACTAATATTTTTCAACGCAATATTAATAAAGCATTTTCATACCTAGTGTTGGTGTTGTTATTGCTGGAAACTGAAACAGGCGTACTCGGAGAAGATTTCGTTATGATGGTAGCCGTTTTACTCTTTAATCTTGTGGTTTTCTCGACGCTTTGTTGTTGGTTGTGTTGTTTTTGCTGCTGTCTGCATTTCGCTCTTCTATTTTTAAACCAGACCTGCAAATAAAAAAATATAAGCTCTATATTTAAGCCCAATGAAATGTAGTCTTTCTGGGAAACCATAAAAACAAATATGTCTATGAACAAGTATTTTTGTATCAGATCCTTAGTTTCAATAAATTTAGATATAAATTTAAATTTAGATATAATGTTTAATGGAGAGTAGAGTGAATATGAGCAGTAGGCAATCCATTTTGCATTACTCAAAGATAAATACAGGGTGTGGCGTTATAATCTATAAAAATTAAACAGCAGCTTCCTGATGATATTTGTAATAGAAAACTCTTATACGAAAAAGTTCTATCTTCGTGTTTTTTTTTTTGTAAATTAAAGTTTATTTATTCAACGAAAATGAAGGCCGACCCTGTGTTATTTATTAAAATGTTTGGAAATGTTTTTATACGACCCGAGATGCAACATTATAATTTATTAAGTCGGTATAATCTAATACTAGCAATACTAAAAGAAGGTTACGTTACATTCTCAAAAAATCTGTGCAGTCAACTGATTTTGTATTTGTATTGAATTCATTATTCACATAATTTTAAATATTAAGCATCCTCCACCGACCCATCAGTGTTAAAAAGTGAAAGATTCCATGCAAAAGTTTTTATTTTGTAATTCCACGATAGTGACAGTATAAATTTTATAAGAAAGTAAAAAATAAGAATAGCATGCCGATTACATTAAAAACGAGATTCTAATTTCTTACTTTGCTTAATTTTTTAGTTTGTGCACAAACTAGTTTTACAATGAACAGAGAAAACAATGCATTTAGTATTTCCGAACGTGTCGATGTGGTGTTAGTGTATGGTACAGCCTGAAAAAATGCGCCCGCAGCGACTAGGTTGTACCGGGAACGATGGCCACAACGTCACCCCCCATGTGCAAATACAATCCTACAATGCGTTCAGCTGCGAGATACGGGAAGTGTTATTCCTCGAGAAGAAGGACGTGGTCAGCAAGTGAACCTTAATGTTGAAGATGCAATGTTGGAACATCTTGACGAAGACCCCACAATTAGTACTCGACGACTCGCACAGCAAGTAGGAACCTCATCTCATACCGTACATCGCATCTTAAGACGCCAGCTGTTGCACTCCTATCATCTGCAGCCAGTACAACAGATTTTACACCCGGATTGTGATCAAGGAATGCGTTTTTGCAGATGGTTTTTATGGCAATGTGCCAATCAAGTAGACTTTCCTGCTTATGTTTGTGTAACAGATGAGGCGAAATTTACCCGTGATGAAGTGAATTTCCATAATATGTACATATATGACCCATATATGATGAAAATCCTCACACGATTAGGGTGATTTTAACATCGGTTTTCGGTAAATGTTTGGGCTGGCATAATAGTCGATGTACTTTTGGGACCCTATTTCTTTGAAGGACGACTAAATGGACTAACATATGCTGACTTTTTGGAGAATCGGTTGCCTAAATTATTGGATGATGTGGCATTACAAGTTTGGGCACGCATGTTTTATCTTCAAGATGGGGCACCTCCACACATTACTCGAGAAGTAGTGACACTTTTGAATGAAATGTTTCCTCAGCGATGGATTGGACGCTTTGGTCCTGTGCTGTGGCTACCTCGGTCATTTGATCTAACTCCAATGGATTTGTATCTTTCGAGTCACTTGAAATCATTGGTTTACAATACTCCAATTGCTACGGTGGAAGAATTGCGAAACCGTATACTTGAAGCTGCTGACGCAATTAAGAGAATACCTGGAATTTGGGAAAATATTCACCAAAATTGGTGCGTTGGTGCCATACCCGGATCCGCGCTAATGGGGATCAATTTCAACATTTTCTCTAGAAATTATAAGTTTTATTTCATTTTGTTCTATATGTTAATGTAGTTTGTTTAGTGCACGCAGTTGACAACAACAGATGCTTACGGATGTAGTTTTGTTTGCGAACTCTTGCAGTAACAACAATGTATTTAAGATAGTAATTACTACTAATTCTTATAATAAGAAGATATCAGTTTTTCTAAATATCTATTTTTCTTAGTTTGTACTTTTGCATTGAAAAATTCCCCAAAAATTGAAAAGTATCTATCTTTCAACGACGATTTGTTTACGGGGTTGGTCTACTAAGTACAGCACGTAACTCATCGTACAGCACACGGACAGGACCGTTCCAGAGAAAATATTTTGATCCATAATTGAACTTTAATTTACGAAAAAAGAAAACGCAAAAATAGAACTTTTTTCTATTACAAATATCGTTAGGAAGCTGTAGTTTATAATTTTTATAGATTATACACCCCACACCCAGTATACCTTAGCACAAAGTTATGTAATTTGGTGTTCATGTTTTTGGAAAACATCATAATCACGCAAATATCTCGAGAGACTCTTGGTGTAGATTACTGATGATTAGGTTCGGCGACTTCACTAAATAAAAATAAAAATTCATTGAATTTGTGTATTCTATGGTAATATCATTCAGTGGTAAAAATATGACAAGATGCTTTCATTAGGAACACATGAATTTTGACACCACTTGGTGGATATTTATAGATTTATTTAATTCACAACTATATTTCAACGAAAATATATTTCCTTCATTTTATTTGTAAAACAAATAACTTTCGTGTAACATATATACACATCAGCTTTGTTTCTAGAAGCTTAAATCTTAGCGTCACTAATATTAATCATTCGTTTACAATTAACAATGACAAACCGTTACGTCTTAGCTTGAGATGATGCGATTGGTGATTGATTGAACAGAATCTCGTGAAAGGAATGCTGGTTTTAATGTAATCTTGTTCTTATTGATTTAATTTGACCGAAATTTCATTGCCAACGTTAAGGGAATAAAATTAAGTACCTACTGCTCCAAACAAAGTAACTGATGGTCACGTGGCTTGCAATTATTTATGGAGACTCTGTAGGAAACTAACTATATCTAAAATATAAACAAACTAATATACCTCTATTATATTTTAACTAAAAACGATGCTTTTTGAAGTCATTAGTCTGCAAAAAAATACGGGGGGTGTGGTGCTACTCGGTACCTGAATAATGTCCAAACGTGTGCCAACAATAAAACATTAAACCAACATTACAAAGGCGTCCCTAACAATGTGCACAATGTAAGTCATAATAATAAATCAGTAACGAACAAGGAGACATTAGAAAGCGATCCATTTTACGGTGAACACTTGAATAGTCGGTCGTTACCTTATTAGCCTGCCACTACCATGCCGGAGCACGTTTCGCGTTTGTTTCGCCCACGGCTATTGTTGCACTGTGTTACTTTAACAACACCCTAATTTCAACTCCGGAGTCGGGCCTTGGGGGCGGCAAATTGCTCTCTTGACTCTACCCGCGGTGTTTGTTTAGCGGCGCAGTTGGTAGCGCTGTCCGTGCGTCACTTTCATTTCATTAAGTGCACACTTATTAGGCGGCAGATAAATAAAAGTAGGATACTTAAAAGGGCGTCACTTATAAAAGTGCGACACCGAAGATCGCTTTAGCATTACTTAGGATCGCCAAATCTTGTACCTTCTATGAATATTAAAAAAAAGAATAGCACAGGCCAACAAAATATGACTGACTTTCTAAAACCAAAAACCAGAATATACTTTACTGAAGATTATCGACGCGCTAAATCCGAATTCGACTTGCTCCATAAAAAATCTACGGAAAAGTGTGGCCCGGTTTCTGGTTCAAAATTTTTTCTGCTTGAATAAACTGTAGGACCTGGGACATGAAGGGGATAAATCCATGTTTTCTAGAAATGAGATTTCTGCACGCATAGGTTTCAAAATATACTTTCTTCATCTGGTGCAAATATTGAATCTGTAGATTTACTAGAAAAGGAAATATAAAATAAAATTCCCTGCTTCAGACTGGTCCAAGAATGGGATATGCCTTTTAAAATGTCGAGTAAGATCACGATGTTTCAGTGATGTCTTTGAAAAGTCGTACAAAAAGAAAAAGTAAAACTGCTGTTGTAATATGTAATATGAAATTTTCAAGTATCATGCTTGCAAGTATCCAAGACAGATATACCTACCCTTCCCCCAAGTTCTTACATTGATAATACCAGTCTTACTAGCAAGAATAAGGGGTGATTCAATGACTGCAGTTCTTTGCATATCAACAGAACTGCTAGATATTAATTTTATTCCATCTGAGCAGAGATCGAATGGAGCTGGAACTAATAGGTAGATGACTCGCGTCCTGGAGCAGTCTATGCATGCCATCCATTTGGTTCGATGAGAACTGAATTTATCCAATGGTTTGACCATTTCCTTCACCATAACAAGTCAACTGAAGAATATACCGTCTTGCTTATTTTAGATGGGCATACACGAAGAAAATATCGTTTTCTTTTTTGGTCACCCTAAGGTACAGTAATCAGTTTGTTCCAAATAACTTAATTTTTTTAGAAGCTGATGTTTCTACAAATGCCATCAGCGAATTAAAAAAATATGGAATAGATCTGTTTAACCCCGACTTGTTTAACGAAGCCGATTTTGTGGCAATGGATTAGTCGTAAAAGGTCCATTTTATTCTACTGAAATTTTTGGTTTCTTAAAGAGAAAATTAGTATAGAGCTAGATCAGGAGAATAGGGTGGATTGTCAAGAATAACAGTACTTTTTTAATCTATAATACATCTTCTTTGAGTGAACCCTATTCATAAAATTCCATTTTAGAGTTAGTGTTTCAAGATAATCAACTAATACTCAAATGCAGTTGTGTAATATGGATAAATGTATTGTTCAAGCCAGTGAATTTTGTCCATTATAACTAGATGGTGCTACTGGTACCCTGTTTAGAAGTAAAAGTTCGCTTTTTTGATAGTCTCTACATTTAATATTGTGGTCAGGAAAAAGTTTGCATCTATAAAAACTACAGGACGTTGATAAGCGTCAATTTTAAATATGGGGGCGTATTTTTTACAGATTTGTTATTATGTTCTCGTACTGCGTTTGATGGCTTAAATTTAAAAAATTTAGTACTACTAGAAAGAGAATTATAGCACTTTTAAAAAGTGTGTTTAATACATCTTAAGATGTTGATATCCTGCATATGGTGCTAAAAACAAAAATATATATTTCTAAAATATGTGCTCTTTTCACAACAAAAATTCACCTATTTTAACATTTTTGTGAGAAATTGGTAGTTTTTGAAAACATCCAGATGGAAACTTTTTCACTTCTAGGTAAACGTCAAACTTATAACTAGAAATTAAACTATATTTGTTGTTACAACCTTGTAGTGCATATTTTATCAAAATAATAATTTCCAATAATAAATTCATTAATCAAATTACTTTCCTTTAGTAAGTATTTACGTAATGTATACCTGCTAAAAATATCAAGTTCAACTTAACTGAAAATCAATAAGTAGGTATACGTAATGGAATTGTTACAAAAGGAATCCTTACGAAATGAGAATTCCTCTGAAACTTGGATAAGGTTCTTGTATAGGTGTAATACACTGCCTGAATTTGTGGCTTATACAGGGTGTAACGGATGCTAACGGCCAAACTTCGGAGGGTTATTATACAAGTAATTTTCAACAAAAAAGTATTATAAGATTTTCTTGGAAAGTTGATATTGCTCTTTTATCTAATATTTTTTGATTTCAAAAAATTTTGTGCCTTTTTTCATAAAAACACAAATACCTCTGTCACTCTTACATCCACATCAAATTTAGAGATACCATCGGAAAGAGCGTTAAATTTACTACAAGATGAGCATATATGAGTGTTTAAAAAATCTTCTATACCAGGTGCTGTAAAAAGTTAAATGTAATAATTGTGAAATGAGCAAAATTAGTGGTATTTCCTTGTTGGTGGTAACGCCAAAAAATTTTTTAATGAGGACGTGTTTTTTTCTTCAGCAAAAACTACTGTATTTAGTAAGCTTTTCAACGATATATCAACTTTTGAGTTTGCTATTTTTTTTGGCAACGTTATCAAGGGCAAAGGTAATAAAACCGTAAAAATTGAAAATACACAAACTTTATAATACATTATTTTTATTTTAAATCTGTTCGTATTACTCCATGCGTGTAGTTTTTGTGGGAGTTTCTTCAAAAAGCTGTTTTTTAACTCTCCCTCTTTCTTCTGTAATCCGCAATATTGTTACAAATGTGTTTTTGTTTAGAATGCGTCTTTCATGATAGATAAATGCCAAGGCGGCTGTGAAAAACAATATTGACACAACTGTCAAAGTCATAAAATTACTTTAGTGTTCTTGTTAATTACCTACTTAAGTATCTAAATTGAAGATGCCACGTTTTTTCACAAATAACGAGTATCGAGATATTTTATTTGTGTATGGTGTTTGCAATGGAAATTCTAGAGCAGCAGTTGCAGAATATTCTCGCCGCTATCCTGAAAGACGCATTCCAAACAGAAAAACTTTTGTAACTACATTTCGGGTTTTGGGAGAAACAGGCAGTGTTCCAGGACCTCATCGTCTAAATGCCGATCGAGTAAATCGTCATCAAGACCAAATTATAACAGCGCTTTTTGAAGAAACTCCCACATTAAGTACACGCAGGGCAGCAATACAACTTGGGAGAATTTCGCATACGTCAGTTCACAGAAGTCTCAGAAGGAACAACCTTCACCCTTATCATTTGACCCCTGTTCAAAGTTTACTGGATCGTGATAGGGCAGAACGTGTTCAGTTTTGTCAGTGGTATATCCAACAAACTAATAGAGATCCCCAATTTTACAAGCATATAATTTGGACTGACGAGTCAACATTTACCAGAGATGGCATATTTAATTATCATAATGACCATACGTGGGCACCTGTGAATCCTCATGCTGTCAGGCCCTCCAATAATCAATACAGATTCAAAGTTAACGTATGGATGGGTATAATTGGAAATTACGTTCTTAGACCAATTATACTAGAAAATACATTAAATGCAGAGGCATTTCTTGATCTTCTTCAGAACGAACTGCATAATATATTAGAAGAAGTTCCTTTAAATTTTCGGATTAATTCCTGGCTTCAAATGGATGGTTGCCCTGCACATAACAGCAGGGAGATTCGCGCATGGCTAAATGAGCATTATGAAGATAGATGGATAGGACGCTTTGGTACAGTTAGGTGGCCTCCTCGAAGTCCTGATCTAACTCCGTTAGACTTCTTTTGGTGGGGTAGATTAAAATCTTTGGTATATGAAGTACCAATTGAAACTCGAGAACAGCTCGAACAAAGGATTTTTGCTTGTTGGGAGCTACTTCGACAGCAAAATGGAGAAGTGCGTCGCACAGTTGCTTCCGTGCGGAGAAGGTGCGCTTTATGTATCCGTCAAGGGGGAGGTTACATCGAAAATTATTAAGTCATTGTAAATATGTTACTAAGTTATAAATAATTTTTTCAACAATTTTGTTACTTTAATTTAAAAAAGCAGTCTTAAAATAAAAATAAAGTACTATAAAGTTTGTGTATTTTCGATTTTTACGGTTTTATTACCTTTGCCCTTGATATTGTTGCCAAAAAAAAATAGCAAACTCAAAAGTTGATATATCGTTGAAGAGCTTACTAAATACAGTAGTTTTTGCTGAAGAAAAAACACGTCCTCATTAACAAATTTTTGGCGTTACCACCAATAAGGAGATACCACTAATTTTGCTCATTTCACAATTATTACATTTAACTTTTTACAGCACCTGGTATAGAAGATTTTTTAAACACTCATATATGCTCGTCTTGTAGTAAATTTAACGCTCTTTCCGATGGTATCTCTAAATTTGACGTGGCTGTAAGAATAACAGAGATATTTTTGTTTTTATGAAAAAGGGCACAAAATTTTTTGAAATCAAAAAATGTTAAATAAAAGTGCAACTATCAATTTTCCAAAAGAATCTTATAATACTTTTTTGTTGAAAAATACTTGTATAATAACCTCCTGAAGTTTGGCCATCAGCATCCGTTACACCCTGTATATGTTTTCATGTCTGCTTCATCTTAAACTTAGAGAAAGAACTTTTACGATCTTGTGGTTTATTAAAAAAAAAATCTGTACCGGGATTTGTCATAAAAATAATAGCTATGTTCACATATATTGCCTTTACCTGCACTCTAGATTCGGGTAGATTAATTTTCAAGGCCACTTCTTCTCGCATAAATATATCTGGATATCGTGTTTTGCCAAAAAGCGCTTCCAACACATCCAGCTGAGCTCTGGTGAATGTCGTTCGTTCTCTCCTTTGCTTTCTTTGATTACCTGCAAAAAAACTACAGTTAGATGTCATGTAAGAATTATAACACACTTAGGTCGAGTGATGTGCCAACCATTTGCAGCACTCTATATTGTTAAAGAACTATTTATTTTGAGAAATATGTGGTATATTGGAATACCTGTTTGTTTTTTTTTTCGCAATAGAGAAAAGTATGTTTGGACCACCGAAATGAAACATTTAAAGTTAGGTATCTTTTTATATATCTACTTGAAAGGACAGTGAAATGTCTTTCCATAAATCGATTTTCCGTATTGTATTATGTATATACAGGGTGGTCCATTTTTCACGGCTCTCCATAGGTATCTGGGAAACCGTAAGATGTACAAGGTGGCTCAAATTAGAAAAAAGTTGCGCCTTTTCAGGGTCATTAAAATAAACCAATCAGACCAAAGATATCTGCTGCCGTTCTTGAGATATTCTGAAAAAACTTAAAATAGCGATTTTAGAAAATGCCTAGCGTCCTTATTTCACTAGATTGCATTTCCTAAAATCAGCTTTTTCACAATATTTCAGGAACGGCAGCAGATATCTTGGATCTGTTTAGTTTATTTTAATGACCCTAAAAAGGCGCAACTTTTTTCTAATTTGAGCTACCCTGTATATGTTATGGTTTCCCAGATGCCAATGGTCAGCCATGAAAAACGGACATGTGTTTCTTAATTTTCCAGATTAAGAGCTTCAGTACTTCACTGTTGAAAACTATTATCAGAGACATGTCTTCAATAATTCTTGAGATAAACATTAACGACAACAAAAAACTGGATCATTAGACAGACAAAAGGATAAGTGATATAAATCAATGAAAGTTTCAACGAGAGTTCTATTTTTTCATAACTATTACTTAACTGTTGAGAAGAGTAATAATTTTATTAATGAAAAATTAAATAGGTTATGCGAAAGTAGGTAATCATTATTAGAATTATTTATAATGTTAAAGCTAAAATTATTATTTATAATAAACAGTTTTATATCGATACCAATTTAACTACATATTTATAAAGAAGTGAGATATATGCGTTTAATAATGAATAGCGGAAATCACACAAATGTGTACTGATGTGAACGATAAAATAGTTATAGGAATAAAACAAATATCCATATTAAATTTTAATGTTTTTAAGGTTTCAATAAAATTCAGTAATTGACCGAGTGTAACAGATTTATTTGTGGCGTAAATATTTTAAATTACAAATACTCTAACCACTAGAATTGCAATTTAGGGATTTGCAAAATTTATTTTCACATAGCAGTTGCAGCGGTAAGCACGTTTAAAATATTATTTATTGTACAAATAAAATATTTATAGCTGTATCATGTCTTTTATTGGAAACAATTAATTTTTCGGCTATTAAAAATGGTAAATAGTTCAATATTTAAAGCAAATATCAATTTATTTTGTATTTGTGTATTTATACGATTTTAAATTCAATACGAACCAGTTTTATTCGTGTTAGTAACGCAGATATTCGCTTTTATTTGTTAGAATATAGAAATAGAAGTCTTACCATTTTATATGTATATATTTCACAGTTAATTGCCTATCTAACTTTATATCTTTAATATAAAAAAAGACAAATGAATATTTAAAAAGTATACAAATTTGCAATTTCATTCTCTGTTTATTATAATAAATTGAGCTTTCGATTTATTAGTTAAAAACATTGTCTATGACAGTAGATCTCTTGTACATAGATTTTTCATGTTGAACAATATTGATTGATTCGTTTAACAGAATTATTTTTTTAAATTCCCTTTAAAATAAATGATACTAAAAGTATACTCTTTGCTGATGATACTGATATAACTAGAACCAATTTAAAGTTTGAACAGTTAATGACATCAACCTATGACCAACATGCATCGCTAGAAAACTGGTTTACTAGTAAACAACTCAGTTTGAATACTTCGAAAACCGAAACTATGATCTTTAGTGTCCGGAATATGGAAAACTGGGATAATCCAGCACATGTAAAATTCTTGGGAGTTCATCTTGATCCAAGATATCAAAACATAGGTACTTATTTACTCCGAAGTCTCAAACGAAGAGTCTCAATATCAAGCTTGCTGATAGTTTATCATGTCTAAATCCATTCCATCATAACATATGCTATTTTAGTATGGGGGTCATGCTCCCTCTATGAAAAAATTTTTTACTCTTCAGAGAAAAATTATTAGAATCATATCTGACCTTGGTTTTAGAGATGATTGTAGAGAGAAGTTTTATAAATTGAACATACTAACTTTACCCTGTGCATATATACTTCAGTGTTTTATTTATCTCAAAAAACATATACATAACTTTGAAATCAGAAGTGAGTAATACCCGAAATAGCACATACTTATGTAATAAATTTCCAAGACTTAGTAAAACGCAGATTGGTACTAATTATTGGGCTATCTAATTTTTTAACATAATATACTTCACCGAATTCAAATCGCTCGCTAGTGAGGCCACATTATTCCTTTAAAACCAAAGAAATTATAGTATCATTAAATACAAGTATTGGATAAAATAATAAATACTTCTTAATCTACATAAAATTTTCAATATGCAATCTTCTCTTTAAATAGGGGTTGCATAATTTTAACTATATCGTATGTTAAGATTAATATTACATGTTCTAAATGTTAACCAAACGAACTTAACGTATTAAAATTAAACTTGGAATTTGACAAAAAATATACTTACACTAAATATCTTGTATTACCATTAGTGTCACCCAAACTTTGAAAAATGCGTTTACTATTGCTTTAAACCAATTCTGATTTAACACTTCAGTCGCCAGAAGCTTATGAAATGTGAGTAGTAAACTCACACGCATTAGCGATTAGACTATTCCCTTTATACTCTATAATATACTCTACTTTAAATTATGTTTTTCATTACCTATTGGAAACCGCAAGTTAAATGACAATATCATATTGTTCCTACCTGATGGATAGCCACCCATTGAAGAATGCAGCGAATCCACCGGGAGACCATGCAGTCCTAAACCGGGCACGGGGTAAGGGGCTGACTTCAAATACGCCATACCTGACGTACTTCCGCCGCAACCGCTTCCAAAGCCCGGAAATGATAGTTCGCTTTCCGGATTGCATCTGGAAGAAGAGGAGACGATTTAACTGGTGATTTTGTGACAAACAACAATTAGGATATGACGTACTTCATCCACATTCAAAAGAAGATAAATTCAAACATTTTTAATTTTATTAGTTAGGGATCAAAATTATAAAAACTGAGCTGATAAACAACTTTTTTTCTTTTTACTTTAGGATTATAATATAATTTCCAATGATAACTCTATGAAATGCTTCCTATATTTGTAAAACTGTAAAACGTATAGTTTTTGTTTGTATTACCTTACTTCTAACCTCTGATTAACTAGAAAGAGGTTAACATCGAACAAAGGCAGAAGCGACAACTTATTTGCACTTTAGCGAATGGCTCAGTTTCAGCCTCTAGAAATTCGGTAACAGATTCTGACAAGGAAAGGCTACATGAGTTTTCTTATAAGAAATGAAGAGTATGAATCACAATTTTACTAACATATTGTTACTGTGTAAACAATAAAATAAATGTTATGAAAATAAGACATGAGATCAATTACACAGCACCACACAAAAAAAAAATGGGAGGAGACGTTGATCAGATCAGTATAGTCTTTAGTACTTTGACCTGCTTTATACGAATCTAAAGTTAAAACTCCCGGATTACTTAGTATTTTGACCCTGACAGGACAACACTCCTGTAGAAAGCGGTTTTTGAGATTTCAAAGTGATTTGAGTGGTCAGTGATTCCATCTTCCTTTCTTCTAATTCTTCCAGTGACTGGTTCTAATCAAGTTCCATAGCACCGCGGCCTGATCAGGCCTTTGTGCGTCCCACTACTCAGTCCTATTCAGCAAGTTGTTTTATCTTTCTTCATTTTCATTTCTGACTCCATTTGCCTAGAGCTCCCCCTGACCACACTCGAAGATGTGTCACAGAAGGGCTCCCGGCCAATGAGCCCTATTTCGGATACTGATATGCAATTATGTGCATAAATAAGACACCAGTTCTGTTTAAAGGTATAAAGTTATATTTACTGTAACAAATTTTTATAATTTAATTTAAATAACACTTGAAGAATTAAGGCCTGTCTTTCTTTCGAACTTGTACGTAGTTTTGATGAAGATCGAAATAGATTAAATAAGAAACAGATACATTTGTGACACTTAAAGATGACTTTTAAAATTGATAGGTGCTATACGTCCAATTTGTAAGTAACTGAAAAGCTAATAGATGGCGTTTATGTATAAGTTACAGTGTTCAGACCCTGTAGGATATTCTATACCCCACCTAAATAAAATTGATTTTTTGCTCTTTTACCTCACCAATTTATAAAGACGGGATTTAACCCACTTAAATCTCAAGTGTCATCGGAATTCTAAAAGGGCATAACTAAAGATGACATTTCTCACAAGCATAAAACCGAGCCGTCGCTGGGCAACGGGTATCAGCACCGTCAACTGTCTCCAAACCCGCCGAACGTCCAGACCGGAGTCTTAAAAACACTGCACCCTCCATATTAGTTGTTTAAAATGTATTATAATCTGTCTTAATCTGGCAAGCCATGACGTTTCTTTTGTGTCCTCGGATTATATCGCAGCTAACACCTCTTCATAATTCAAAGAAATTTTATCCTACCATCAATGGCAATAAGGACTAACTTGTTGCTGTTTGGTGCCTGTAATCGAACACCCGTAGGGTCGACGAAAACTGTTTTTTTAAAATACTAAGCGATGTTTTTGTTATCTGAGACTGGTGTGCTTTATCTGAGAAAGTTCTCGGTGTTTTTCTGTTAATTGTACGGTTGCAGTAGGATTTTTAAAAGGTGATGTACGGTTTCGGTTAGATCGAGCGTAGTTTTGGAAGGTTTTATTGTTATGATTTTGAGTCTAACTTAAAAAAGTATTTGATTAGGGCTTTGAAATTAGAATTAAAACAAAAAGTGCGTATAAGATGAATCAAAACAAAAAATTGGAACAAATTCTACTTTAAGGATTGACAAATTGACAGAATAAACGACCGTGTAACATTGGACTTGAGAGAAAAAAATAGGACATTTTAATAAGATGCAGTTACAAGATTAGTACCCTTATTTTAGTATTTGAGCCTCTAAAACTTCATTATTTTACAGATTTTCATTTTTGTATCAAATTCGATATTTAATAAACTCGTACCAAGAGCAGTTAAAATTCTTTAAATATTTATACGAGCCTCTAACACCTCTTTAATTTAAAGATTTTCATTTTTTCATTCGATATTACCCTTAAATATGAAAAATAAATGAAATATAGAAGAACACACATGTCTAACTTATTTAGATTTACAGTAAAGGAAATAGTACTCCACTAGCTGCTTCTGTTTCTAAAAGATAATCATCTCAAAATTAAATATAACAGTTCATGTATGGTAAAAATGAAGAGAATTGTCAGAATGGAAAATAACATTTTTTATTTATGAGATAATACAATTACTTTATTATTTGTTTACCAAACTTCAAATTAGCTTTAAATTTTCTGCAATAGTTACATAGCACAATTAACTTTTTCTACAAGTTAGCTCGTTTTTCGAATCATACCACATACCATGAAGATGTCGGTTATCTTCAGAAATTAATAGTCAGTGTAAATGTAAGACAGTTGGGAAAATTCATAATAAATCGACTAAAAACTACAGATTTTTTATTTTCAATTTTATTTTTTGAAGATAACTTTTTCAACTTATTTTTGTGGAGAATTTAAATACATATGACCATAATTTGGAGTAACCAAAAAAATCTCCAAAGGGCTCATTTTAAAGCTTAGGGCATCTACTTTCAAATGCAGAGTACGCCTTTGCAAAATCCAATATGGCGGCTCCAATATAGCGCCTGAAAATTGTCAATTTTTGTGGAAAAATTTAAAAACGCAAATAAAAAAATATCCATCTTTGAAGAGCTATTCAGGGTGTCTCATAATTAGTGTCCAATAATTTACCACTTGATTCTGTTGTCAAAAATAAGAATATTTTTTCATATAAACATGGGTCGAGAAATGTTTCCTACGCCCCCCTAAAATGGGGCTTCAAAAAAGTCATTTTTTAAATATTTCCAAAATGGGTTAATGGAAAATTATGAATTTTAACACCGTGAACGTTCATTAAAAGACGAAATAGTCAACATAAAATTTTTCAAAAATTTTAGGAAGGGGCGTCTCAATTAGGGAGGGGGGTCGTCGGATCATATTTGCCCCAATTTTTTTGCTTGTCCAAATTTTCAAATTCAGATGCCAATATATGTTATACCCCCTTTCCTCTACAAAAAAGGTACTCTTTAGTTCTTCCAATAAAATGCTCCATTTCCGAGAAAAGCGGATCTAAACACTTCATTTAATTAATTAATTAACTAATTAATTAATTAATTAATTATAATTAATAAAATCAAAAATTTTTTACATGTTGCTATTTTCAAATTTAAACAGCAAAATTTGATAGATCTGAGTTTTCTTTTAAAAATGGTAATGTTGTTTCATATCGAAAAAGTAATCTATTTTGGAGAAAAATCCTTATAACACTTCCCAAAGTGTGCTTTTCTAAGCAGTTAAATCCGTTTTTCTTGGAAGTGTAACATTTTATCACAAGAAATAAAGGGTAGGTACCTTTATTGTAGAGGTAATGAAGGTCTATTATATGCTGGCTTCTGAATTTGAAAATTTCGACAAGCAAAAAAATGGGGCAAATTTTAGCTAACGACCCCCCAATTGAAACGCCCCTGATCAAAATTTTTATCTATTTCGACTTTTAATGAGCGCTCATGGTGTCAAAATTCATAATTTTCCTTCAACCCATTTCAGAAATATTTTTAAAAAATGAATTTTTTGAGGCCCCTTTTAGGGAGGTAGCATTTCTGGACCAATAAAAAAATAAAAAATATTCATATTTTTGGCAATACAATCAAGAGGTAAATTATTGGACACTAATTATGAGACACCCTGTATATGCTTTCCGATGTATTTTCACCTCCTAAACACGAATCCGGTATTAGATTTTAGCTATCACATCACTTTTTTTTCTAACTTCAAAAAAATTGGTAAAAGCCAAAATATGAGAAAATGTACGAGAAACAAAAATAAACCCATATTTTGCTTCTTCAATGAAGAAATAGACCCGCTGAATACAAATCCACTCCTAGAATTAAGCTGGCACATCTCAGCTGTTTCTAACCTCAAAAATATCGATCACAAATCGATATTTTTTTTAAATTTTCAAATTTTTCTTTTAAATTTTACCGATTTAGGCCAAATTTAACAAACGGGGGTTTTTGAAGTCGCTGATTACGAATGTGAAGTCAGGTCTATAAAATTCAAGATGGCGGATCCGAGATGACGGACGATATTTTCGAAAATCAACCAATCTACGTCAAATTTGGTATACGTGGGTTATTGGGGTCGCTGATGACGAATCTGGGGTCAGAATTCATAAGTTTTGGCGGAATTTTAAATAGAAACCGTGGTAAAATTATATTCAAAGTATTTAGTTTCTAGTTCAGTACAAATACAGAGGAAGACTACAGAGGTAGATTTCAACAGGAAAATATTTGCTAATTTTACTGCAATAAAAGTGAGTTTTGTGAAATTGAACGAAACCAGTTTTTCTATACATAATTACAATAGTTGTGATAGTTTTTTTGTATATAACCACAATAATAAGGTAATTTTTTGCAAGACAATCTTTGCGTATGGTTGAATAATTTGTATATAAAGCCCTCTTTGCATAAATAAATAATTTGGTTTTTCAAAAACGCTATTTTATGATTTGATCAACATTGCATGTCTTAAGTTAATCAAGATGTCCATGGCGCGGTTCGAAAAACGAGAACTGGGATTGCGCTCCGTTCACAGCTTTCTCTAACCGTAATATTCCTATAGACGGAATCGTTACCTGAAAAATGGTTCCAAATTTTCACAATATTAAAAAAATAAAACAATATCCTACAGTTTCCGGCTTTACT